GCATTCCCATCAGCTGCTAATTCCTTGTTCTCAAGTAGTAATTACATGAGCACTGAGCCCTGTCTCAGGATATGTCTCATTGTATCTGATGTGAACACYGAGACAAGCAGGCTGCACACAAAAATAAAAAAATACAGTCCAACCACAAAACTGTTTGTTSGTACAGCTTGAGTAATAGGAAGATAAAATCAACAGCTTGCAACCGCAAATAGTGTGCAAAATATCCAACCCAAGCACTTCACAGTGCTATACCACCAGTGGCTGAAATTATGCAAGAATGCCAAGGGAAAGCAAAGCCTTTTTTAAGAGAGTGAGAACCATCTTCTACATTATGAGTGTGACTTAGGAATTATATAAAATTTGAGCTAGTCCTGACAGGGCAGGGAATTTTAGAAATATGCCATAAATAAAAAATGCCATAAATATTTCTGATATATACAGCACAGAAACAACTGTCCCGTGGCAAAGGAGGAGGAAGAGGAAATGAGAGCGTGAGGAAACACGGAGCTGCAGTCCCACCACAGGACAATGTGGAGCCAACAGCCACACCAACAGCGGCAGCTAGAAGGTGTCTTCCCACCCTGCGGACTTGTGCAGTTATGGATCACAGCAAACTCAGGCCCTGGCACGGTAAGTTATCCTGCAGTAGACTCAAACTGAAGGGGCGGCACCGGCCCTTTAATCATTCCCCCCTGCGGCTTCCCAAAGGTCAGGGGAAGGCAACAMAGACCAGGAAGCCACCTTGGAGCAGGGAAGGGCTGGCCCGGTGCCTCTGCAGGAGGGGGAACCACAAGGATGTGAAGGGCGAGAGAGGAACTGGATGTGAGAAGATAAAAGCAGCACAAAGAGGCAGAGCCGGCAGAGGATTCCCTGGAGCACAGAGCCACCAGACTGGCTGCATCTCGTGTATGAAGGGCCCTACAGGGACCTCTCCTCCCTCCTTCCCGCTTGCTTGTGCCTACGTTTCTACTGGTTTTACTGGGTCATGAAGTGAAACAGACCCCTAGCAGTTCAGAAGAATGATCACCGGAGCTGCGTGTCAAGCTCTACAACCACTACAAGAAATACGACAGGAAAAGAGAAGAATTCTTTGTAAGTGGGTGAGACAAATGTGTAACACCTAATTTAATCCCTGCCTAATCCACCAGCTGGTTACATTTATCTGCTTAAGAAAGCGATCTATTTAAAGGCACCTGATTTGCTCAGCCAAACAGGCTACATCCGCAATTGGATTTATTTAAAATCCTGGATCTTTTGTTGACATGTATCAGTGACAGTTTACATCTATGGACATGTTACATCTCCTTCAGTGCACAGTACAATATTCAGTTGTTTTAAAATAGAGATTTACATTGTTGCCCCACATATACCTCACAGACATGAAAACTGGCTGAACTAGCAGTTTAGGTCCTACCATCGTTCTCAAAACCTTGTTACGAATGTTAGACTGGAAATGACATTTAGCATTTAGTCTTGTTTACTCTGGAGGCTCTATTACAACTGTCCAGTCTCAAAGTGGTGATGATGCAGCCGCCTCTTCTTTCCTTCCCCAATCCCGTATTTGTCATGAGACAAATCCACAGAAACCCGCTCCACAGCGTCGGCTACCACAGCAGTTTTATTCCCACCTTTGAGAAGGAAAAATCCCTCGCCCTGTGCCCCGTGCTCCAGGTGTCCCTGCTGGAGCAAGGGGGTTGGGCTAGATGATCCCCAGAGGCCCCTTCCAACCTCAGCCATTCCGTGATTCCCTGACTTGCTAATCTCGAGGGAAAACATTCACAGGAACATGGGCCCGGAGGAGCCGCCGAGAGCAGCGCCTGTTGCCCTGACAACAGGCAGAGCCCAGYGGGAGCTGCCTGCACGGAGCAGAAGGAAACGTGGATGGGAAGAGTCCTGCATGGAGCAGAAGGAAGGGCGGATGGGAAGAATGCTACACAGAGCAGAAGAAAGCGCGGACGGGAAGGATCCACATTCCCACGCAGGGCCACTGTGACTTTGACAACACGAACCACAAACGAGTGGAAAGAGAGCTCCAATTCAGCCCAGCGAGACTGACTGGGAGAGCAGACAAGACAGAGTTCAACAGGGCTAAAGTCTGACCCCTGTTACGCACTGCAAACCTGCGAAATTAGAAATAACTTTAAGCCTGCACCATAAATGTAAACACGCTCAAGTTTTGCTTTGCTGTTACTGCCTACACCCAGAATCAAAGGTTATACAGAGCACATGGGCCTTGCTCATTCTCTCATTCAATCCTCAGCCATATGGTTCAAATTAAATGATTATTTCCTCTAGCAATAGCCCCTGGTGCTGGTGACCAAGACCAGCAGCCAAGGCGACCCGGCCCACGCTCGGCCTCTCCTCCAGGAACCAAAGGCTGCTTGGCCTCCTCCCTGGCCTCCTTCAGGGGCTCTGCAACTTGGTCATCTTAAATAAGTGCACCGAACAAGTYGTATTCATCACTCTTGGACTCATTCTCTGTTTTATTAGAACATGGGTAGCATTTACCTTACTGAGAGCCCTCTTACCAAGTCAACTTTTCATCTTGTTTTTATTGAAGGAATGTCGTTCACTAGGATATAACTGTGCAGAGGAAATCACAAACTGACACCAAGGGCAGCATCTCTTCTTTGCGCTTTTCAAACATTTTGCAACATAGAAATGTTCCCATATCASAGAATCAACCTATTGCTGAATTATCTTTGGGGTTTGAATCATAGATCTCTTTTCTTACGCTTAACAACCTCACCTAACATMATAGTACTTCTCATACCTTCCAATAAAAGCAAACTAAATGTACTCATAACTCCATAAAACACTCTTTGTGTTGTATAACAGAGTTCAAAAAGACATAATTCTTCCAGCATAAGTAAATCAAACCCAAGAATATACAATTTAGTGTTCATGTCTCTTTTCCAATATTAATTTAGCTTCTTTGGGGCACATGCTTCTTCACATGGATTAACACTTTTTAGAAGACGGAGACAGAGAGAAACAATTAGCAAGAGCCCATCTGAAGCAGTACGTGGATTTATGAGGTAAGAATGTTATCCTGCATCTTTCTGCAAATGGTTCTATATAAGTAAATTAGCACATTAAGTCTCCTCTGGAATGTCAGGCTTTGGCACACAGAGGTGAGATAAATATTTCCACTACAACCACCTGACTGGGCCACAGACTTTCAGGCAAGAGCAGCTCCAATATAGAAAAGAGAATTTTGCTTGATTTTGTAAGTAAAATGAAATCGGATAAACAAGCTATAAAAAACAACAAAAACAGCTATAAAAACAAACAAAAAACAACAAAAAYAGTAAAATAATTTTTGCTTTAAATATAGTTGCAGGTTATATATTGAAGTTATACATCTACTCTATTAGAAAACAGCATTAAGAAACCTAAAAATAGAAAGACCCTGCCAAAGATTCATTCCTTTATATAACCGGTAACCTTCATATTCTTTTTGATTCTTACCTTTTGACCCCTTGGGTTAGACRGGGACTGAAACAATATAATAATCAGAGTCTGCCAACAGAGCAGCAAACGCAGCCTGGWTTTCACCCACAGGATACCATTTAAGCTGAACGTTAAGACCTCAAATGCTGTGCAAAATCATTTCACTTTGATACCATCACCAAGCATCATGAAACTAAGAAACCTCAAGGCCAAGAGAATCAGGTAGGTTCCACTGGMTTGTTTGGGTGAGCATTTTTCTTTCTTCCTTCATCCCCTGCTTCCTCATCTGATCTCCCTCAAGGGACAGGCTTCATCTAATCAACCAGGTCGCACTAGGAGTGTYGCGATGAGCTCTTCCTCCCAAACTCTCCCAGGAAAGGAACTTCCAATCCTAGGCAGCATCTTCTTTATACACACTGCTTTTGGGGTCGTATACACAGTAGCTGGTAAACAATAACTTAAATCACATTGTCCATGGAGCTCGCTAATGTCTAAAAAGCTACAAAATGAAGTCAACTTTGAAACTGAAACCCAGGTACTTTAAGAACTTTCTTGAGCTGTTTGCAAAGGGAGGAACAAGAGGCCTGACAAGAGCCACGCTGGAGACTAAGGGGAGTATTAGATACTGCAGCTGCATCTCAGGCAGCTCTCAAGTATAATATTTATTTCTTAGGGAACAACTGTGGGAAAACGCATGAGGCAAGAATGCAATGTTAAATAAACAGAGTGTGAAATAAATGCCCAGAGTCAGCAAACTAAAAACCAACTAAACCAAACTAACTTACAATCCATTGATAACTCACAAGAGATTTGAATCTAGATGCACTTAAAAATAAAAGATTTAAGCAATGGTCTAAAAATAATTCATTATATTTAAAAGCCTAGCTACTGAGTAAACTTTTGAAATCCATACATCTCTTGAGGGTAGTTGGCAGGCTTGTAGGAGAGATTAAGGAGCACAAAAAGAATCCTCCAACTTTAGAGTTTGAGGTCATTTGGGGGAAGAGGTTAAAAGGAAATTACTTAGTGGCACAGTTTCATAAATATTCATTAAAATCATTATTGCTTTTTCTTTTTCCTGAAGCACTTGATCCTGTGTTTGAAGGGTGGGATACTGTGGAATCCAGTGAAATAACTTCCACCCTGCAGCAACCACCTGGGTCCATGCTCTTATTCCACTGTAATGGAGTAGCTTGTCTTTTTTGCTGAGGGAAATGTCCTTGCATTAACCGCAGGATAAGAACATAATGTCCAACTAACTACAGTAKGACCCAACTGCAATAACCTCTTTGCATGTCCACCACATTCATGCTTTTATGCCACAAAAAGGTAAGATGAACCAAGTTGAGGTAATTCACATTGCAAGGCGAGAGGCTGGCTATGACTTTACAGATCTTCAGTTTCCAGGAAAGACTTTACATTACTGTGCAAGCTGCATACGTCTTCAGGCACAAAGTGTTTTTCTTTGCTTTCAGTAGCCCATTTAGATTCAAGTATAGGTTTTAATGAAGATTTAAGGCATGTAAGGAAAAATGCCTGTCACTTACTTGGCTTGGAGTTAATGATGCTCTCAGCGGAGTGTTGCGGTGGAAACCTGCAGTTCTCCCCCTGGCCCTCGCTGCTGCCGTACTCGATGACTTCCACTTGTCCCAGTGGCACGCTCCATTTCAGTAAATACCTCTGGCCCGTTGTCACAATGCCACTGCTTTCGTAGGAAGAGCTGGAAGACACACAAATTATTGCTTTGGCAAGCAATTATATTTTACAGCATACTATTCATCATTTTAACTTTCAAAATCTGCTTTATACCACTCTGGGCGCTGTGCACAGCTTTAAACAAACACACRTTTCCAGCTGACTTTTCTGCCCAACGCTGACTTTTGTGGTGAGTGCAAAGAGCAGCTACGCAGGTGCAATAATCATGTTTGCAAACAGCTGTATACAACTGCCAACAGCAGACCCTACATCACTGCTACAGCAGAACATCAATTATCCTCTCTTAAGAGCAGCAGCCTGCATTTCAACACCCTGGAGCACTGCAGCTCCATCTTTTCCGTAATTCTTTTTGATGGTAACTGGATAGTGCCTGAAATGCTGGAGAAAAAAAAAAAGCAGTAATTGCTGTATTTAGGAAAGTATGGATGATAAGGCTTTTGAGCAACTACCACCAGGTCCAGGTTACTTCTCAAGTGCCAACGATCCAACGTTCCCACCGAGCCCCCTRCCCAGGATGTTCTTCACACCAGATCCTTCCCAGCAGTTGTGGGATCTTAGGGCAAACTGCCAGAGCGGCTGCTAAAGGAGGCATCTGTCCCAGGGGGCATCTCGGAGGAAGCCGGAGGAAGCAAGCTGGGCAAGATCACTTGGAATAGAAATGGTCGTCATAGCCCTTTGCCTTGTTTCTTTCATTCCCTCATTCAAGCACATATAACACGTATTAGGACAAAACGGAAATTTTTGTTTCCTTTAATGTTCACTTCACAGAATGCACATCTTAAATACAGAACTTAAAAGCAACCCAAAGGGTGCTTGAAGGGAATCAGTAAAAGGTATTTACTGAGAACAGTCTCTCGAAACTGATGTTCAGGTAGTCAGCTACCTTTGCAATACAGCTGCAATCAAGAGACAAAGAGATAAACAAAAACCAACACATTAAAAACAACAGCTTAAGCAAACGTTTACAAGCTCTAAATCTAACTAAAAAGAAAGTAAACAAGAACACAGCTGCTCAGTGCCTAGAGAGAGGATTCCCTTCCTCTAACTCCTGCTGCTTAAAAGATAAGTCTGTGGCTTAAGGTGGTTATCTGAACGGCAGGTGAAGGAGGGCCCTCCAAGCAGCACGTGCTCTGTAAAAACACGTCTTTTAGCAGCTACAGAAAACTATTTTTGAACCCAGCATCCACAGACCCTCAGGATCTTGGATCCCCCAGCTCCGTGGGAGAATCCACAGGCACGCGCGAAGGGGAGAGCTGGAAAATCACCTCCATAAAAAGAGCCCACGTCAGACTGGAAGCCACTGTTACATAAATTCACTGGGTTAAAAAGTGAATCTTAACTGCCAGAGAAAAAGTATTTTTTTCCCTGCCAGGGAAATAATAATAATAATAGTAATAATAATAAAACCCTAAGCTTGCAACACAAGCATCGTGCCTGATTATTGTCCCGAAGGAGGTTGCTCAGTAGCAGCGATGCCCACAGGAAGAGGAGTGCTGTTTGTGGTAACTGAAACCATTGACTCAATGAGGGACCCAGCAACTGGGCAAAACAAGGGACTTTTCATGGGGAAAAAGGAAAACAATTTGAGAATCACTGCTTCGGGGGAAAAAAAAAAAAAGAATCACAAAAAATCCAAAGATGTCACACAAAAATGTAAAATAAATGGGTAAAAGTAATCTTCCCCCAAGGATCCTAGGCAAGTATGCAGTTGATAATAAAGAACTCAGTAGAGGAAAGGAAAAGAAGTGTAACTTCTGGGATAACTGGGCATTAGCTTGTGCATTTTCTCAAAAGCAGAGCTGCTACAYGGCACTGTTCACTCACTAATATGGCACTAAGTGCTTATACAATTGAAAAGTCTGAGTGTTTTCACACTTGGAGGTAATTTACACACTTCAGTAATGGACAGAAAAWATCTGCTCTCAGGTTACACATAAAAAAGCCATTTTTGAGAGGCTTTGATGGCCCATATTTTCTCCATTTATATGTAATAACATATAAAGCAATTTATGTCACAAGCGATGCTCAAATGCAAGTGCRACTTGGGCCCATACTAACAGACTAACAGTAATAGCTGCAGCCAACTAAAACACAGTCTCTATTATCTAAGTTAAAAGTGTACTGAACCTACAAAACCTCCACTCCATTAAATACTAACAGACAGCAAAAACTAGGCACTACAGAACTTTTCTACCTGTAATTAACAGGTGATAAAGATTTTCTACAAATTTATTCCAGAATTTTAAAGTATGAGCAAGCAACAGATAATTTTTTTTTAATAAAAAGTTATTTATCCATTTATTATGAATAGAAATATGTAGCATTATTTAAGTAGCCTGCCATTAAGTACCATTTTCCCAGCTCAAGCTTGAATGATCCTTTAAAGAACAGGAATCCAGGCTTACCGCACGTTTACTGTTGCGCACATCAACACATCATTCAGCATGAAGAGTCGTCGCTCTTTGGTTTTGACTATTTCTCCTTTGTCATTGTAAACTGTTTCAATCATATCATCAGTCCGTACGAGGTATCTGCTTCCACTGCTAAGTAGCTGCAGTTTAAAAACAACCCAAACTGCACGTTATACATGGCACACGCAACAGCCAGTGCAATAAAATAAAGCAAAACTGATTGCCACTTGCTATGCTACTGTTAGCCACTAGCAAACTCAAAGCAGACTGCTCCTCTTCTCCCACTGAATGTCTTCTTTTAAAATATTGTGTGATCCAAATGAGTAACTGAAAGGATCTGGGATGTTCCTAGATGTTCCTTAAAACAAGGAAGATGCTGGACACATCTCGTAACATATTTTGAGCTGCTCTTTAGTTAGAAACACTGCAGTTTGACAAACTGCTTCTTTGTTCAGGAGAAATTCCTCAGCTCTTGGATAAATTAAAAGTAATCTTCTCACGCAAAAGATCTGCACGAGGATTTGCTATAGAAAATTTGCTACAGAAAATTTGCTACCTTTTACACTGCCGCAGAGCACTTACACTGCTGCTGMTATTTCAACCTGTCAAATCCTTCAGCTCACAGTGGTTTTAATCAGTGGATCTATTTAGTTCTGAAGATAACTCACAACTCACACCTACCTACAGAATGACCTTATCTTGCTGAGCACTACAGAAAAGGTTGTAGGTGTCACTTCTGTGTCCATTCTAAAGACTGTTCAAGGCACAGAAACTAACMACACAGTATCTCTTCCATCACACACTCCTACTTTCTCACCTTGTTCAGATAACGTTCATTCATTGCTTTTGCTATTTGTTTTATTTCACAGCGCTGATCTGCATCCCTTTTCCTTTCATTCAATTTCTCTGCTAGTGTTTCAAGTTCTGTAAGAGCCATCTGTAGAGGCAACCTATCAGGATGTCCTTTGTTAGTATTCTTCAACATATCCTGAGGGAAAAAAAAAAGATTAAAAAAATGGATTTAATTTCAAAGTCAAATTCAAAAGATCACAGAAGTTTATAGCATACCCTATTCAAAGTTATGGTATCGTTCTTTAACTTAGTGTTAAGAGTAAGTTCAGTCAAAAAACTCCTAATGAATATTCAGATAATACTCTTTTTCCTCAATATCCTTATATTCCTTCAAAAAGATATAGAGAGCATACAATGTATTTATAGAAAGTATTAAATGTATTTATAGAAAGTACAAAAAAGGAACTTGAAAATAAATAATAGCATCAGAAGATGAAAGTAACATTAAACAAAATATGAGGCAGATATCTGTTAAGTGATGTAAAATCAAACATTTATGATATTTAATTACACCATATTATTCTCATGACATTTATGATTTCTCACTAAAACACTGACAGTGTGCTCATCCCAAAGCAGGGTAGCAGCACTTGCCTCACTGAGGTCACAACTTTAAAAATCCTTCTCTTGTGTAGGCAGAGCTTGGAACCATTTGAATGAAACTTCGCTTCTTTCCAGCAGTACTTCCAGCATCCTAACACATTAACCAAGTTCCTCCCACATTATTTTCCATCTCTRTTGCTTCCTTGAAAGCTCTAGACACGGTTGCCTACAGGTGAGCTCACCAACTCCCATTGCTTTTCTTCCACAGTAATTCCTGGAGTGTCACCCTGGAGCCTGTCTTTCTCTGGAACACGTAGGAGAAATGGCTAACACACAGCAGACTTTTCTGCCATAGACCTGGATGTCTTCTGTAAAGCTTTACAAACACTGTGTTTGCCTGCAGCAGGTTCTCAGATGTTTAGCTGAATATACAAGTTYCCTGGGGAACTGTGCTCACTGCACGGTGAGGCTCTATGTTGAGAWGAGACCCTGGGGCATCCCAAAGGCCCAGCTTGGGAGCACTCTCAGCTTCCCTGTGAAGAAGAGGAGTCCTTCCTCCTGCAGGCAAGGAGGAGCTGTGGCACCTTCCAATGGGCACCGAGAGCCAAGCAGTATGGGAGACATCACATTTATGCCGCTGTCTCCATGTGTGCTGAACTATCTAGCACATTACCCACACATATCTAGTATGTCAATTTTAAGCAAAAACAACAGCATCCAGTTCTTAGTGGTGTTTRAAGAATTATTACTCAGTAAATTGATACTAATGAGCAGTGTATTAGAACTGCAGTTCTACTATCTAGATTTACAAACTAAATCTAATCTGGTAAGTAATTCAGGGTATATCTCACTGAGAGAATTGCTCAAGAAGAGGAAAATTAGAGAAAAACTAGGACCTAASAGAAGTTAGGGCATTACAGAGGCTTGTTRGGGTGAGAGACAGTTACCACTTCCAGGTATGTGCGGAATCTACTTCTCCACGATCCCCTCAGCAACACAATCTGACACTAGCAGACACTAATGAGAGTACACGAAGAGTGGAGCAGGATGGAGACACCCTGGCCAAACTTTGTTGGCTTCCCTGCAGAGGTGGTAACCTGGAGGTGCCTGCAGCTGGTGAGTGAATGGAGCGTGGGGCGGAGTGAAGACACCGTGGCCAAACTCTGTTGTGCCCCCTGCAGAGGGGGCGACCTGGTCATATCATGCAGCTGATAAACCAGGCAGTATCATGAGATGTCTGGTGCTGGGCCAACAAGGGTGGCAGATCAGTCCCTTCTGATGGACTTTGCTCAAACTTCTCCTCATTCTGATCTCATTATAATACCAATACACAACCCCCTTGTAGAAGTTACCCGCTTCCAAGGAATGACCACTCCTCATTGAGCATGCACTCTAGATTTTCAATTAACTCAGGAGACTTTTTAAATTAATCAATAATGAAAGTATGTATGACTAGAGTCACTCAAGCTCCACCTAAACGTAACAGAAAATATATACAAGGTGAACTAAGGAGGGATGTAGAGGGAAGAGGGAAAGTAGGAAGAACGAGGTGGTAAGAAGAAGGAAAGAATAAGAAAGAGCAGAGAGGGAAGACTCCATCGYAACTTCTGGATCAGTCGACAGCCTGAACCCTTTTCCTCCTCTCCGGTCAGGACACTCTGAGGAGACTCCTCGCGGTTGAGAGCCCTCTCCCATCTTCTGGGGTGAGTGATGATTGCACATTTGTACACTAGGCACTAGCTAAGAATCCCACAGTGTGGCAGAGAATTTCCTGCACTGACATACAAAACCTGTTCTCTAAATGCTGCATTTGAATAAACTGTGCTATTTGTGAATTTGAGTATTTGGTTTGAAGGCAACCAGATCTATGGTCAACAGATTGTTTGTGAACCTGGTCCTGCCAGCGTCAGGCCTACAGCTACCACAGTATTTGGTATCCCTATTAAGAGATGAGTCCAGCCCAGTCCCTCTAACCTCTGAGGATCGGCTGGAACACAGGAGGATTCACCTCCTACCAAATTTGGCCCCCTCAATCAAACTGCAACACTGATTTATTAAGATTTTCCTACAGTATATTTGCTGAGTGTCCCAGGAAGTAGACTAGGTGATCAGGACATTATCACACATTGACCTTTTTTTCTTGGTATTTCCTTACACATCCGCAGACAAAACCCACTGCGACAAGTTCCTGCAGCAGAAGACAACTGCAAATCAATCCCTCATGCAAATGCAACAGCAGCACTTACCAAGTAAGCCTTGCTGTAAAAATTACTTACCTGCAATAGCAGAATGAACTGTGGAAAGCGCTGGATAGGTTTCATCATTAAACCATACAGCGTAATTCKATCAGGGCTCGACTCCTGGCACTGCTGCAATATAACAAAGTCACACTGGTTACTCACACAGGTGCCTTTCCATCAGCTACTCATCAACAATGACAATAATGAATAGCATTTGCATTCATTATTCATCAAAAATGAAATAGCACTTGCATTCATTATAACAAGGGTACTGTAAAGATCCTGCAATTTCATTTAAAAATATTATACCTTTATGGAAAAAGAAAAAAAAATCAATATTAAAACAATGGCTATTATTAGATTAAAATTCCTTTAAATAAACAGAGCTTGGCTGAAGTCTCAAGAGTAATACAATAACTATGTATATTCATCTGTATAGTATATTCATGCCTTTCCTGTAAGCAGTACACTGAAAAATCTGCTTAACTTAAAGAACATGAGCCCAAGGTCTTAAATGGCTCAGGGTCCTAAGTATGAAAAATGTAAATAAATTATTTGTTTACTTACAGTCCATAATTTACTATTGCTGCTCTGCTTCTTAGGGCTAAGGGTTTGCAAATCTTTCGCTTCTTAGGGCTAAGACACTGTAAATCTTTACCTACCAATGTGTAGRTAAAGGAAAGCACCATAATGTCAATACTATACAAAGAGATTTTAGTTTTTCTTTATTAAAAAAAACTAAGGAAAGAAAAGTGACTTCTGTTGTTAGTGTTCTTTGCACTCAGAAAGAACAACAACTGTTTTGGGAATCAGAACTTGCTGATAAAACCAGACAAACTTAGTGAGTATTTGTACGTGTGTAACTATTTTCATAGCTATTTGTGTAAACCCTCTTAACTGGAAATATTTTGACCAGACACAGAGCTGACTCAAAACAAGGAGAACTGAGGAACTTTTCAATACTAAAATCCAGCAAACAATATTAAAACAAGAGTAGTGCTTAAATTGATATTTATTGCTACAATTATCAGTTCCAAGGCAATTTTCTCTATTCACCTCCACAGTTTTTTTTGCCCACCCAGTCAGAGAGAAGATTCTGGTCCCCAGTCTGTTGACTGCAGCTGGGCAAAAGCACAAATGTTGGAAGACACAAATGTYACTTCTCTCTCTCTCTATGCAGTGCCCAGGTGCAGCCCCTAGTTCTGAGCACCAGTGTTGGCAGGGACAAGGAGTGAGGAAAGCTGCAAGTTTTGCCACTCTTGGACTAAGGCCTTTCAAAAGGGCAAGAGCTTCATAGGAGACTGTAACCTCACTAGACAGTGTGGTGTTGGTGGGCCATACAGCCCACAAAATATGATCCTGTATAATGCAGGTACTGTGCTCCAAAAGGTTCTTAGTTGATTTTAAGATCTGAGRACAGACTTGGAAATCAGGTCCTCATCATCCTCCAAAAATACCCCAAAACATCACTGTGAGGACTTTCTAAGGCAACAAATGTCAGTGTTTCCTAGACCAATGCCACAGACCTGACAGGCTGACAACTCTTGGGGCACAGCCCAACCCATAACCCCCAGGAAAACAGGAAAAACGGGACTTCCAGGCTCCCAGCACAAAGCTAGCAGGTTAAAAAGCCACGAGATGGACAAGATGGATGTTGTGTCCATTCCATAGGATATCATCATGAGGGCTTTCCAGAGGCTTCTGTGGCCTGTGCCAGGGTCTCCATGCACACAACCCTTATTGAGAGCATCACATTCATCACAGCAGGATGCAATCTCCACAAGTTTTTTCAATTTCATCCCTCAAGATGGGAAAAAAAAAAAAGGATTCTAAAATCACTAAAAAATTGCTGTGAAATAAAAATACAACTAGCCACTTAACCACTCTATACAATCCATGTTTAGAAGTAAAAAACATCCCAAATAAGAAGCCTCAGAGAGCAAGCTGTCACTGCAAGCTCAAATTGTACAGAAATCCCAGTATTTTGCTAAGGGCAGTCATGCAAACAGGGATAAAATTGATCTCATAATGACAAAACCGTGAGGTACTTCAGAACACAACCTTGATCTAACACCATGTCATTGAAACTATAGCAGTGGAAGTAAATTCTCTTCCATTTATGAAATTCATAAATCCACAGTCTACAAAAACAGTCACACCATATACAACACCATAAACAAAATTTCCTTCTACCTTACAATTTATGGAGCCTTAATTATTTCATCTGCCCAGCTGTTTCAAGTCTAAATGCACTCACTTTTAAAAAATCCAGAAAGGCGGGCTTGGTGGCACATGTTTTCTTGAGAATCCCCACTGCTGTGCTGAAGTTGTTTACGTATTCACTGTATGCATCCAATACCATAGACTTAGAAAACTGAAAAARTAAAAAGGAGAGCATTAGCTATAAATGCAGAGGACACCCCAAGGCATCTTTACTGAGACCTATGACAGCTAAGAACTCGCCACCTKAGGAGTTAAGGTCTTGTATTTGGTCTATTGGTGGCTCTATAGAAACATCGGTGAAGCAAAAAGTGACYTTTGCATAGAACAAAAGATGGGAACCTTAAGACATAAAAGCTGTGAATTACAAAGTGTCAATTCACTCAGCTAAAGCGCAGGGCTTAGGCCTCCACTGAGCTCCAAAACTGCAGCTATGATCCCATTTTGGTGGATTTGTAAATGCCCACCTCCTCTGAAAAAGCAATCGCTTGAATGTCTGAAAGTCTGATTAAAGCTTGAAAGTTTTGGCCATAATTCTTCCACGTCTGCTAACCAAGGTGAGACAGGTTGGTATCTGTTGCCTTACCAGAATGGATGGGCTGACTCTGGCAGCTGCTCTAGTCATCACAGAATACGGGAATAAAGTGGCCAAGTCARACAGATAGAAAGGCAGGGACATTAAATAGCATTTCTAAAATAAAAACAGATTATCTGTTCAGATGCTCTTGCTTACTGAAGCAACAAAGACATCGCCAATCATTTCAACAGAATCCCACTCAGAGACGCGGCTGGCCAGGGCTATCTGAAACATCGAATGGCACTGAAGAATCTCCTTAACTCGATAAAAGACCATTTTGAGTTTTCTTTCACTCAGTAATTTTGGTTCCATTTCTGAAAGAGGTTTCTCATATTGCTGTGGGGAAAAAAAAAAAAAAAAGACATAAACATAGATTTAAACCAGCTAAAAAACTGTCTTAACATAAAATCCTGCCACTCATACAAAAAGTATACACACACAAAACCTCTCCAAATATTTGGCATGAAGCATCTGTAACAAAATCCTTGTGAATCACATTACAGATTCTTTAAAGATTCAATTACTTCTCAAATTTCCCCATTTTAACAAGCTAATGATATTAGGTACCTCCAGGATTCTTTTGAGGGCATCCACATAATTCTTCTCACTGTCAACCACGGAGCCCAGAATATATCTTCTCACAACCTGTTGAAGGAACAAAGCCCTGTCAGAAACTCTGATTAGGTAAAATATTCATYTCGGTTGGGAATGCTAATAATAAAATTTTCACATTAATCAAAAGAAAGAAACAAAGCATTTTCAGTATGTGAACTGCAATAAAACAAATACTGTACCACATTTTCTAAACTTTGGGGGATTCACTGAAAGGACAATTAAGCAGAAATTGCTCTTTTAAGCAATAAAATTATGTAAGTSAGGATTCTCGTGGGACAATATTCCCTTGCACACCTGAAGCCTCATCTCACCAGTGTTCATGCCAATGGAGAGCACTGTAGGAGCTCCAGGAAATACTACCAGATTTCACATTTGCAAACTACGAGCTATGTATAATGTCCCGTTCTCCTTGGCATGGTCTAAGTGAAACACRCATTGTGTGCAAAAGCAGGAACACGGTGGAGGCCTGGGAAGCTGACCTGGCTTGAAATACAAACTTCTTCCTGTGACCGATTACATTTCTTGCTATTTTTATGGATCTGTTCTCACTCAAATCAATTTCCTAACCCAATTCATCAGAGAGCTTTCAAAAGCTGGATTCTGGTGGAGGGAGAAGATGACACAAGGGCAAGAACAAAGTACAAGGAATGGCACAGGAGCGTCTCTCACTATTTTAAGTCAGCCTAAATGACCCCGAAACTCAAATTATAGAGTTGCTTCTCTTGAAATCTTCCTGCTTCTGATCCCCATGGCCTCCTGCTTTCTCCTCAGCCTCATTTAACTCCCTGCACATGTCTTACCAAGTTATGTAAGGATTTCCTTGGACAAATTGGCAATTTTGAAGGGAAGTTTACAGTTGTTTAACTTATCATACACTGTCATGAATATATGATAAAACCCTCGCTGTGTCCAATCTGTGTTTAGATTTAGCAGTTTCTAATCAGGCCTGAGATTAAAAATATGTGTTTTTTTTCTAACTGTATCAGCCGTTCTAATGAAGGTACCACACCTCTACTCTTGGTCATAGTTCATTCTTACAAAAGGAATAAATGTCTTTGGATTTTCTTTTTTCTTTTCATACTCTAGAATACACAAAATAAATAGTTAATAGGGCCTATAGGTTACTGCAAAAGGCATGTACTACTTAAGAGGCTTCTGTACATTTGTACTCACATTTTTTTCTAAAAAAGGTAGGGAAAGAATTAAAACACACATGTATAACACAGAATTAAAATGATGCAAAAACTAAAATGACTAGGACTCARTGCAGGATACAGCAGTTAAAAAGGGGAATGTTGTTTCAAACCAAAGCTCTTCTGCCACCTACTGTTTAGAGCAGGCACATKCATGAAGTGCTCGTGCATCAGAGAGGCCGGCTGGAAAGGTCTGCAGYTCAAGAGGTCCAACCAAGGCCCCCTCAAAGCTCCTTTCAAGGTTGCCAGACCCCAGGCTGTGCTGTGGCATTGGGTTATTCTGCCCTAGGTGCAAAATTTGTGTTTTGCCTCTCTCGAACCACCTGAGCTCCTGTCAGCTCATTTGTTCAGCCCAGCACGGTCGGACTGGGTAGCAGCCCCATCCTGCAGCACCTTACCTGCTGCCCCCACAGACTCAGCATCCCCTGCAAACGTGCCAGCGTGCACTGAAACTCGTGCCTAGGTTGTTAATAAAGAAATTAAACAGTACTGGCCTCAGACCAGAGCCTGAAAGAAACCACCAACACCGGCCATCAGATGGATTTTGTACCACTAATCGTAACACTTTCACACTGCTGGTCCAGGCCTATTTTCCACCACTTTAGAGACTACCTGTCTGAACCATAGCTCACCTGTGTGACAATAAGGATGCTCCGGAACACTGCTTGGAAAGTCTGGCTCTCCCACATCCTCTGCTCTCCCTTGGCAGCACATTAGTCATGTCAAGGGGACTCGGCTTGGACAGGCACAAACTGCATTTGCAAAGCTATGCTGGATGCTCCCAGCTCTCTTCTACAACTCCCGGGAGAATTTGCTCCATCACCATCCCAAGCAGTGAAGGGAGGCTTACCAGAGTTATGGTTCCCCGGATCCTACTTCTGGCTCTATTTGAGGATGGCTGCAACACTGACCTTCCTCCCGATATCTGCTGTTCTAAGCAATCTTTTTAAGCCAACTGATGGTAGCTTTGCACTCAACACTCTTACATGCATCCCATCTGCTCTGTGGACATCTATATGTGCACSTTGGCTTGGTAACTACTACTCCCATAGACAGTAATGCTTCAATCTGCTAGGACCTGGACATAAGCTCAGGGGCTCTGGGGGTGTGAAGACAAACGACACCAGTAAAAGCTGAGACAAAGWGGGCCCTGAGCCACCTCAGCCTTCTCAGTGCCCTTTGTCATGAGATCCCTGCCCCATGGAGCAGCAGATCCCTAATTTTCTCAGCCTTCCTTTTGCTGTCAAWGTACACATGGATACCCTGCTTGTTGCCTGTCACATCTCTCACTAGTTCCACCTCCAGCTGAGCTCTGGCTTTCCAACTTGGCTCCACACAGGCAGCATCTCTTCGTTCCTCCTGGGTCAGGTCCTTGCTTCCACTTCTGGTGTACTTCTGTTTTGCAAATAAGTTTAGCCAGGGGTCCCTTCTTGATCCACGCTGACCTTTTGCCCACTTGCTCCATGTCCTGCATCTGAGAATGGACCACTTTTGTGCTAATTAAGAAGGTTATCCGAGAAGACTGGACAGCTTTCCTGAGGTCCTCTGCAATCCAGAGCAGTCTTCCATTGGGTCTGCCAAGCTCTTCAAGCCAAAATCAGCTCTTCTAAAGTCCAGAGTTGTAATTGTTGCTTATTCCTCATGGATCTTACACTTCACCATCATTTGATTGATGCTCTCAAGGGTTTCATTAGCCTTCACATTCTTGACCAGTACTTATTTGGGAGTAACAGGATACTTATCCATTAATGAGAATTCATTATTAAAGAAAATGCTAATAAGAACTCTTACTCCATAATAATAAAAGAAAATTTATATTATTTTCTTTTTTTTTAATAAGGGTTCACTTCCATCTGAACCAAATCCACTCTCTACTTAAAGTCTTCAGATACCACTCTCATCACTTCTGCAAACTTAAAAACAAATAAACCCATACATCTCCAGACACTAACAGTATTCTAATCTGCTTGTCTTATAGGGAAACTTTAGTGGAGAATTCTGTGCCAGAAAGGCCTCTTGTATCTGACCATCCCTTTTGGAAATCTTCCTATTTCTTTGGACACTAAGGAACTAGCTGTTTCCATCTGCCCGATTCCAGATTATTCAGGGCTTTCAGTTAAGTCAGTACAGTTTGTGCTGAGCTTGAATTTTCTCTGCCAACTCAGTGTCAGTTCAGTAATTTCAGCTATAACAGGGAGACTTTTTCAGCAACCTGTAGTGGACTGCCAAATAATAAACAGATTTGGGGAGGAAGAATCTTTCCTGAACATGTTGGACACTTTCTTTGCTGCCTTACTGCCATAAACAGGGACTTCTTCAGAACTGAAAACTCAAAGCAAAGCATCCATATCATGGAGTTATCAAAAACATCACTTAGTGCTCTTAGTAGATTCATAACATACACTGCAACTTCCACAACAATTGCTAGCTTATATCAAAGAACTCTGATTTTTTTTTTCCTGAGGAGGGTACATTTATTTTTAACTGCTTAAAAARGTCAGTAAGATCAACTGATTTTACTGATCATCAAACACGTATTTGAAAAGAAGGGACATGCAGCATTCAGATTAATGCTGGGATCTTACAGTATAAGGAAATCTTGTAATAATGTCATGCTGACTTACCATTTTCTGAAGGTACTGACAGGACTTAAGACCAAAAGAAGCTAAAAAGTAGCTCTTTATTACCTTGCATAACAAAAGGCTAACACATACCCACCGAATTTCTGTATTTTCTGAAGTGGCCTCTGCAGTGTCTACAGAGTTTGAATGGGAGAAGAACAGTAAGAACAGTTCTTTTCCGTAGAATTGACATATTGCGGGTAAATTTCAGAAATCAGAAGAAACACTAAGATTTAGAAAATATATAGGATATTCCCCACATTTAAAATAGAAATCCAAGAACACTTGCAACACCTTCTGACTCAAGGAAAAAGTTTGAATTTGAATTCCTCTAAGCCTCCTACCTGCTGCTGGGACAGGCCTTCAGGCATAGGTGTCATAATGGCTTCTGTGTGCATACAGTCCACATCAATAAATAAATTTAGCTCCTCATCTTCCAGACATGATGCTCTATGGTCTATAAATAATTGAACAGTGAATATGCCAATGGGTGTAACATGCAGGCTTAAAAAAAAAAAAAAAAAAAAAAAAAGAAACAAATAGAAAGAGCAACAAGGATCTCATCTCCCAGTAGCCTTAACTGCACTCAAATAAATGAAATTTCTCAGCATTTCTGTAAGATCTGTGAAATCACATTAAGCACTGATGGGAGCTCTAATGTAGAATATCTGAATGCTTATTATCTCAAAAGATACCTCTAAATCCTAAAAGCTCTACAGCAGGTGGCAACCTGGGCATCTTTTCTTGCCCTTGCCTTCATCCTCACAGCCCAGGGCACAGGGCTGCCACAATGTAGGTTTAAAACATGGTAGTTCCAGCAGCTGCAGTTTTGAAAGGAGCCTTCAGGAAAAAATTAAATACCTCTATGTGATCAAGCTTAAGAAAGGTCACACAGTCSTCCACAAGCAGAATTTAAATAAATAGCAAACATATGAAAATGTGGGTGTTTGTAAGGAATGAGAGTAAGATATTCCATGCTGTCTACTATGTCCTTCTCTAATTCTACTAATTACTAATTCTATCAAAAAGCACCACCCAGTTACAGTGATAGGTGGCAGTGCACAGCCACCCAAACAACCAGACGCGAGCTGAGAGAAGGACAGCACGACAAACTGGGGCCTAGAAGAAAAAGGGAATTAAGGAAAACAGTCCTATTAGCAGTGGAATTTATGAGTTTAATCGAGCAATTCATTACTAGCCCCCCTACTGACTTGGTAAGTGGCTAAGAGATTAAACCATCCATCCATAGGCAACCTATCCCTGCTAGGTAACCTCTAGGAATGCAAGGACAAATGCCAGGGCCTCTGTAAGCCAGCCCTGCTGGCAAAGGCAACTTCAACAGCAAGAGGGTGAGGATGCATTTGTGTAAAGAACTTTCCCTTTGCTGTTTCTGCAGGGGGGTTGGACTAGATGATCCAGAGGTCCCTTCCAACCTTAACCATTCTGTGATTCTGTGAACTATCTAAGCTCAGAACCTGTTAGAGGCTACAGCAAGTGTACAAGCTGACTGCTGCTCCTTACAGGTGCAAGGCAGCCTTACACTAATTCTTTTCTGTTTTTGCTCACTCCCTGAAAACAACTTCTTCTAGTCTTGTGTGGTTTTAAGCTCTTACGATGGTAATTTTACAAGCTCTGAAGTTGCAGCCGTTCAATTAGCTGGTCCTTCAGCAGACAGACAGACTCTGTCTCCCACACTTACTCTAAAGGAGGAGGAAGCTTGGACTTGGTCATCGCTTCCACCCCCTCACCCCAGCCAGGGTTAACTCTGGCCTGCTGCTGTTGCTGAGGGTCGCGACAGGGAGCTGCCTTCTGCTCTTAACTAGAAAAAGAATTTAAATACTTTCAGCTTTTTGGATTTAGACCCCTTTGTAAGAAGAGCAGTGCACCATTCCCAATTGAAAAAGCAGCTTCTAGCAAGATCACCAAACTGTGATAAGGCAAAACACTCCCCCTCTCCTGTTTCCCCTTTTACATACAGTAAGTGCTTACTATCCTTGGCTCATTATAGACGTCTTAAATAACCAGCTATCGCTCCACTGAAAACCATGCCATAACAGCAGTCTGTATCTCTAACTATATAGCAATATAGAGCTACCCTGCTCTTCAGGAGTTAGTTGATGAAGGGAAATAGATTGAGCACTTCAGCCTAATTCCATGCAATCCTGCATTTCTGCCAATATCCAATCTAGACAGCATCTATGATTTTCTATGTTTTTTTTTTTTTCTCAGAAGAACCTTCTGCGCAGTCCTTTGGGTTTCTCAGGTTCTTGACACTTGCATCCCAAATCTAAAACTGCTCAAGCATCATTGACCATGCCATTATCCAAAATTGATTGTCATGTTTTATCAATAAAAAGGAATCCAGTACTGAGTTTACAGTACAGTAAAAGCTAGATCATTCACTTCTTTTTTTATAGGTATGAACTAAAAAAGAGTATAATTGATAATAAAATATAGTATAATCGATACATACCTTGAGAAATAAAAGATTTAGTTCTAATGAAAGAACGACCCTTTTTCACGGCTGCTTTTGTCTTTTCAAGTCCATCTTTGGTACCTTCTCTAGCAGCTCGCATGAGCTTTTGCATCTGTAAAATAGAAAATACAATCTACATGGCCTGTGACTAATAGGGCACATTCAAACACAGCAAGCAGAATACTTTTGATCAAAATATCTTTTAAATGAACACTGTCAAGCAGTTTGGGTTCTACATATAGCCCAAAGTCAAAGAACTACATGGAAAGTACACAGATCCATCAACCCTTACATTAGTGCACCTGTACTTTTTCTTCACAAAATCAAACCTGGAGAAAGGGGCTTATGACAACCTTGCATGTAACCTCCAAAACAGGAGAAATGCTTTAAGAATCCTTTTGCTCAAAACATCTGAACTTGAAATAGCCTCAAGAGCCCAGTTTTAAATTACAGGACAAATAAGTGCTAGGAACAGGTCATTAACTAGCGGTGTTGTAGATCATCTTACAATGTGTCTATAACACTGCCAAAGTATTTCTGGTTTAAGGCRATCTCCTAGACACAGTTCTAAGTTTGCTATATTCTAACAGCTGCATTTTGTGGGGAAAAAAATGAACTAATAATTTCATTAATTGAAGGAACTRATTAATTATTAAGTATAGTTTTATTATAAAGTGGTACATTAAAAAGAAATTTTATGCAAAGAAAAAAGGAGTGTTGTTTTGTTCGGAAATGTTAATTAAAAACTGCTCTGTAGTCTGCCTTTCCTGAATGCAGCCGCAGCAAAAAGCTAACACTAAGTTAGAGAATTTCCCTATTTGAGATGGAGTTTTTAGCACAAAATGTTCATTAAAGACTGTCCTGTAGTCTGCCTTTCCTGAACAGAGCTGTAGCAAAAACCTAACACTAAATTAGGGAGTTTCTCTATTTGAGATGGAGTTTCTAGCACAAACACGGCCTTCTCATGTTGTCTCCGCTCGGGACAGGGTGGATTCCCAGCACTGCCCTGGGACCCGCCGTGCACAGAGTGGAGGGCCCGGGCGCTGCCTTCCCATTCCGGGCCCTGGGACACRGGCACCGCATGGGGAGGAAGGCCAATGTCCTCTCTGATCTTCTGAAACTGCTACAGTGACACAGCAAGCATGGGAAAAAGTCCTTGACAAAGTACTTTTAAAACAGTGTATGATAACCCAGCACATTTTGAACTCATTTTATATAAATTATTGCCCACTCTTTTAAGTCAAGTTGCTGTTACTTAAAACAAAATGACAATATTGTCTATGTTGAAAATGAAAACAATTACTTAACACATARCTAGTTACAAAAATTATCTACACTACCTTCAGCTCATGTTTTTGCTTTAGTTGCTGAATCTCTACTGCTCCCACTGTGTTTGCCATCAAATCTTTCATCTTTTTTTCATAAYGCTCCTTTAAACGCGTTAGGTCATGAGAAAGCTACAGTGCATAAAAAGACACAATCTTTTCACAAAGCCTGTAGTGCAAACTTTACACTAAAGCACTTGAGCACATCATGCACGTTGCCCTGCTTGCCCAGGGCCATGCAGACAACTGAGAGAACACCAGCATTCCGGGCAGCTCCGGTGTGAGGAACGGACTCCAAATGACAAATATCTGCATATCACTGTACTCACGGTGCCTCATCCTGGCAYGTTTGGGGCACACTGGCAACTATGTAAAGACAGAGACAAAGTCACTTAGTCTAAGCTAACTGCATTAAATACACACAGTGCCCATGTCTTGCAAACCATTTGGAGACAGGGTTATTAACTTTATCACCATTGCATTAAGCGTGAATCCCAGCAGCTGTATTTCTCACTGGACTTCAACGTGGTGAATCAGAAGAATTCTCATAGGRCAAATGTGAGCAGAACTATCTGCAGAGGTTGCATGCACCTGAAAATACTACAGTGCGAGTGAGCTGGGGAACAAGAACCTTGAGGGAAGGGTCCATATTCCTGTAAATGGCATGACAATCCATCAGGAACCAGGTGTCAGCTCTGCCACAGCCTCACTGGGTTATGCCATCCCACTCACATGGGTGGTTAGGCCCATGATCTTGGGCATAACCACCTCATACACGAATGCATGAGGTCATGAAGCCAGTGCATCCATGAATGCAGCCATTTGCAAGGAAGCGAGAGAAATACCTGGGAGAAATACTTCAGAATACTAAGCAGTAGGTTWAACATTTTTGAGAAGGTTGGATAAAAGCAGTAGAAATGTTATCAGAAAAAAAAGAAGATGTAGGTATTTGATGTGTCTCAGAATAGAAAAGACATCCAATGGAAAAAATCTGCAGGTTGATGTCAAACGAATTCCTTGGCAAGAGATCAAAGTGAAAGGAAAGGGAATGCCTACGGAGCTGAACACAAAGGGGCAAGCGTGGCTTCAGCTCCACTACAACAGGTCACAATGTGATTCCCCGACCACTAAGATCCTGGCATTACACCAGGGTAACCAGGAACAGCATGTGGGTCACAACCTGGAAACATTTAATTGTGCAAACACTTCCCAGTCATTAAAATAAAATAACAAAATTAAAAAGTGGTTTTGAGGGAAATTATATTACTTACAACTAAGACCATGCCACCGATCTTCCTGCACTCTTCAATGAACACAAATAACAGCAAGGGAGTTCTTACAGACTATACAAGGAGACATGCTAGGAAAATACCGCAAGATCCACTGTAGGACATGAGGAGAAGTGAAGGATAGTGAAAGGATACAGGGATCCCTATAGGATTCCCTGGATACAGGGAATGCATATATAGAAATGGAAGTGCTCTTTGCCTCTAYGCATAGTCTATGCAGGTTCTGTACCCTGACAACCCTACAGTTTCCGTCATTCCTCAGCCTTCTGTAAACCCCCATCTAGTAACTCACCCATGTGATGCAGTCTCTTGACTTCTCCATGCCCCAACTAATGCCTTTCTCGGCACCTTATCCCCATCTTCCTTAAATTCAACTCCTTTTGTCACAAGTCTGCAAAATTCAGCTGTGTGGCAGCCACCCCATGGGACGCCCCTTCCTTTCCACCGCTCTTCCAGGCTCATCCTCGCGTACCCTCTGCAGATTCCTGGCACCATCATCTCAGTTCATTTCAAATACTCCCGCATGGGAGACCACAGTCAACATTTTTTAACAGTTTTACAACTTGCTCTGTGTGTGTCATATAGATTCCTACAACTACAGCCAAAGGTGAAGGTACATAAAACAGAAAAACAAAGTATTAGAGAACAAAYGAGCAAACTGGCAGCCAAGTTAAGATACACGCTCACATGTCAAGTTTTTCCCAGTCTCTTCCAAAGGTATTCAAAGTCAAGTTCAATTTGCTTCAAAAAATCCCACAAAGAAATAACTGCAAAAGCTGAAGTTTGTTCTAGTCAGGGCAAAGGAAAAACAAAAAAAGCAAAGTCAGCAGCACCCAACTTACAAAGTGCTGATTTGAGTAGATTGAGTCCTTYAGTTAATTGCTCACTCCCTGATTTCTCAAGGGCTGTCAGAAAGGATGGAGGTCAGGAGAAGGAGATAGTGGGTACTGGGAGGGAACATATACAGAAAGGTTTTTATTTTCACTGAGAAAAGAAACCTGCAAGATCAAAATACGGGTCCTGTGAAAGAATATACAGGGCGTCTTCAGTATCGCCGTCCTGAGCAACTTCCCTAGTTTTGATCCTTCTTGCACATTTTGTTTGAAAGTGCAATTTTACTGGGATTGCATTCCCTGAAAGAAAGGTGCAAAAATGAGGATGGAAACAAAAGCAGTAATTAAATTAGAGCAGAAAACATCTAGAACTAAGGAAGCAGAAAGCAGCTAAAAAAGGAAAGCCCGGTTCTCACTACAGAAACAGAGACAGAAGACAMAGACTCAGCTCTGAGGCAGCAGGAGTTCCTCCTCCTGTTGCAGTGCTGTCCTRGATGTGGGTCCTACTCTACAACTCCCTAACCATCCTATGGGCAACTGGAATATTTTGGATTCTGATGGTACCAGTTGTGAAGTGGCCCAAAGTACAAACGGGTGGTTTATACTGGTTAGTATAAAGCAGGGAAATGCTGAGGTTTCACCGACTGCACCTCATTCCCTCGCTCAGCGATGCTGCCAGGGGCACCTTGCTCCTCTGGCCACTCAGAGCAGGGACCTGCAGCAGGAAGCACCGTGCAGCGCCTCAGCCCTCAGGCTGGGAATTTCTGCTCAGAAACAGGGAATGAAAGCAAAAGGAGAGGAGCTGGGGCGGGCTAGGTCTGCTCCTCATGCACAGTGAGGGCACATACCCACATCACCATCCTGCTTCCCACAGAACAGATGCAGCMAAAGGGATTAGACCAGAGGACACAGAGATGGAGCAGATAGATCATTTCCAAAACACACCTTATCCTTAGTGAATGATACGGGCTTTTTTCTGATCACAAGACCTTTATTATTTAAGCATAGTGACCTTCAGGCAAAAGCAGCAATGCAGATTTAAGATAAAAGGATAGGGAACACTTTCGAGCAACTGAGGGATGTTTTTCAGGGCTACCCATTCAATCCTCACATTATTTTTTCATAATTTATCACTTGCACTAATCTATTAGCTGCAAAACAAGAAAAGGTGAGGAACAGCCCAAGAGGAAAAATTCACCTCATTTTTAATTCTATTTTTTATCCAATCTGAGAATTTATTTTATGGAGTTCCTGTTTACCACTTTTCTGTCCCCAGCCATATTTTCTTGTGAATTCATGCCCACACCGATTCATGTCTCTTTAAAAAACATTCTTGGTATTCAAAGCTGTACTGAGGAGGAGGGAAACACAGCTGGGAAAGACAGGTGTTGCAAATCAGAACAACCTCCATCACTGACAGCACTGTGGGRATACATACATGTCTCTTGTGGTTGCCTCGCAAAAAGGAGCTGGGAATTCCATTTTTACACTCAGAATCACTTTGTTCTTCATAGCTTTCAAACTCACTTGAACTCCACCCATAATCCAGGGAGCTGTTGCCACCATCATCACCATTTTCAACATCATCATAAATCATTTCCTCTGCAAGACAGACACCAAAATAAAAAATTAAAAATTAAAATAAAAAATTAAGCTGATATTCCTGTTTGTTTAAACATCAGAAAGCTTCTGCATTAGGAACTATAAAAAATGACACAGACTTTTGCATAGGCACTAGAAATAAGATGAGGCAGTGTTCAAACAGTCAAAATAGGTCTTCTTTGTTGAAACAGGATTCTAAACAAAACACACAACCAGTGTTCAGAACACGATCCCTTTAAAAACGTGCTGTGCTCAAGCTGAATTGTTTTCCCCAAATCCCATGACATGATTCAGGAGAGATTCAGACCAAACTGAAACCGTAGCTGCAAACCTGCGTCTGCACAGATTAAAATCAGCCTTACGTTCGCAAGTTTGCCATTTATTTTTTAGGGGTTTTTATTCATGACCAGTTCAAAAAATAAATGCGGTAAACACTATGAAAATCAATGATAATATCATTAATTAAATCAGAACAGATSAAACAGCTAAGAACCATATAACAAAACCACAGTATTTTAAGATTTATCATTCCTGCAACTATAGTGATCCTACCAGTTATSAGGAGTCTCTTACATCTGCAAGCCCATAAATTAGGCTTGAAATATTAATTTTTTTTAATACTTAGAAAGCTCTAATTCAAATGCTGACCAAAGCATCACCAGTCAAAAACACTGGAAAAGAACTTCCAAAATGCTAATGTAAAAAACACTACAAGATTGMTCCATGTTTTTCTAAGGAAGTATTTTTAATAGCTTTATCTCTCTCTGCTTCCCATTCCTTATCCCAGCTGGTGTTTTAATTGGCACAGACACCCAACTTGACAAACTAACTCAAAATAAAATGGAAAAATGTTYATTAGCAAATACTTATCAGGACTTAACAGGTGTGCACTTTACATACACAGTCATTTGTCCCATTACAATTAAAGAAGTGTAGACACTTCTACCAGGGATCCCTGTCGTTAGAGGTTATCACTTAGTATTTAAAGCTGAATCACATAACTCAACAAGCAAATTTTGTGCTTGTTTTAAGACTACACTTTCAGTAGTATTTACACTGAAAAAAAAMCACTCAAAATGGATGTGTTTTACACATCTAACTTCATGATTCTGTGATTGAAAAATTAAGTTTTTACCACTAATAATCTTACTGAAGTAATGATATTATTTAGAATTAGCATGAAGTAATCTCCTCTAATTTGACATAATTAAATGCTAAGATTGGATGTTACTTATTTATTTGTTAATTTTTAAATCTCTAYGCATGTCTAAATTGTTCTTAAAATACACATCCTGAAAGAGAAGTTTTAGTGGTAATTAGCATCATGACAATTTTARAAGATTCATCATTGTAATGACATTGTCTAAACTTATAACCAATATAAGGTATTGGGGCAGGATATACACAGTGATGTAGTGGAAATGCCTTGCCCACACACCAATACACAGTGGGTCATTCAAACTACGATATTTGTGAAGGAKATGTGCCTTCCTCTTAACACATACAATCTAAACATACAATACAAAGATCATGAGCATATAAAGCTGAAATTACCCTCACTATGTATTTTCTCAAAATCTTTCAACATCTGTGAATGCAGATGGAAGGCCAGAATTTGGACTAACAACTTTTGAGTGAGGATGAAAATTGAGAAGCTCAGCAAAGCTTTGCTCCAAGTGCTGTTAACCTCCCCAGGTCAGCCCCAGCCACTGCACACGTGTTTCATGGCTAAGCTGGAAAACATCTCTAAGACTTCCTATGGACTTTCCAGGAATGAAAGCATTTAAGTCACTAATGCAATAAACCTAAGTAATAAATTGAACATATTTCCGTAATGAAATTTGCTGAACCTCTTGCCTGAAGAGTACGAAGATCAAGAAGTAAAAATATTGCCACTTAAGTGCTTTTTTGAATTATTAACATCAATATAGCAAAGCTCAGCAAACCCCTGTGCCCTCTGTGGGCAATAAAAGTAGATGCTGRGTTCCTAATAAACCAGCCCAGCCAAACAAGATCTGTTAACACCAACAAAATCTTAAGCGGCCTTCACTGTGACCAAAAGCTGCCAAACCACCCAAGAGAGTCAGTGCTTGAATAAGCTTCTGGACCTCTAGCTCCACTGTCAAGGCAAAATCTTGGCAACTACTTTGAAATCTATTCTTACTCTTCCAAAAAAAGACAAAGAATAAGGATCGAGAATAGCGTGAAGCTGAAATACAACATTTCTGTGGTCACAGATAGGGCAACAAACAGCCTGAATCTCTTCCTTAATGGATGTTCAGTGATCCGGACATTGCTTCTCATCTTTATATCAGATATCTTTATGCAAAGTGAAACTTTAAAGAATAGAGCAGTTCTCTGTAAACTATGATAAAGACACATTACCATAAATCTGCTGATCTATTTAAAAATAGCTTTTCCTCGCATTCCTTGCCTTGTTTAGTCACCATGGCTACAATACCCCTAATTATAATCCTGTCTTTTCTCTAGCACACGGAACACCACCACTCAGGGGCTTTGGACAGCATAGAYTGGGATGGCATTGTACAGCATCTGTACAATAAAGCATAATTCAGTTTTTGAACAAAAGGGCATATGGATATAAATTCTGTGGATTGCGTGTGGATATAAATTCTGTTAAAAATTAGTTCTGAGTTTTGCAAGATCCATTGATTACTGATATGGTGTTAATTTCATTTGTGTATACATATATATATATTTAGTGAACATGTCTATTCAATATACACTCACATTGGTCKTATTACATTTCTTTCAACTGAAAAAAGATCTATATCTTATAATACATATTACAAATACATATTACTAAATAATACATATTACAAAGACCTCAAACCTGGCTCAGAGTCTGAATTTTCATTTGGCACATCATCATAAATTACTTCATCTGGATCTAAAAGCAAAACGGGAAGAAGAAGTGTGAAATCACATACAATTTTATTGGGACAAACATGAAATTSTAATCATACTGGCATATATGAATACATTAGAGATATGACCCACACTCCATCAGTATTTTYGTAGTACATTTAATCATCATTAAGCAAATATCATTACTTTCACTGAACATTCTTGTAGTAAGATATTTGAAAATTTTTAGTGTTTACTGTGTTGTTCATGATAACCTTTGAGAGCATGAAAACAAAATTCCATTTCCACAGCCAACATAACATCTTTGCCTCCTTTTCACACATGCTMTGTGCTCGTTGAGCACTGCTTGCTGCCTTACTAATTGGCTCTAAAGAAAGAATCAGAACTGTAAGTAACGTAGAGATCATTCTTCTAAGTTAAGAGCCAGTTTGAGATGATGACATAAATTTCTCATTTATTACAAATACCACTGAAGAGGAACTTCTAGCCCAGTGGGAATCCTCATTTAGTCCAAGCTGAGGAGAGCCAGGGCAACTTGCCCTCAAACGACGTGGCCATGTTCTGGCCTACAGCACATCTGGCCAGCAAAGAGCAAAGGAGAAGCATTAAGAAAAGGTTTCTTCCCTTCCACCTTCTCCAAAAATATGACTGTGAATGTACAAGAACAGCAACACATGGACAGCCAAAAAGAAGACTGTGAACTTCAGCACATCTCCAGTATGATTTTTTTCAATGGCACCAAGGGATTTGCATATGTGGCATATGTGTCTCTTGACTTTGGGAGAGTCTCCCAAAACGTTGCGAGAGAATCTCACAACATTAAAATATTACACTGTGGAATATTTGTAAWGGGTTAAACTTGGCTCTGGAGCTATTTTAAAAAAATAAAAAATGAAAGTGAATACAGATATCCCTGTAAAATGTCCACACGTGTGTAAACATTTATACACACTCACACATACAGAGGTAACACATGCACAGTGTTGACCACAACTTAAAACTGACCTTCTTCTAGAGTTGCACTTCAGTGTTCACTGATACTTACTTTCCATCCAAGCTGTATTTGCTGGATCTGCAGTCCACTTGGCCAGAGCATCATCCTCTCTCCTGAGCTGGTTTTCTTCACTTGAAAAAAAGAAAAAACCCCACAAAATAAGAGTATTAAAAGCTACATTATATTGTCTTTAAACTATCATAAAGATAGTTAAATAACAAAAAAAAAAACAAAAAACAAATACTTTATTCTGATCATTTTAGTTAAGAAATTGAAATTACTTCTCCCACAGAAATATTCTGGTTGTGAATTATTCTACCAGAACACAGAATATTATCTTGTTGGAAGCCATGAAATGCAAGTTCTTCTACTATAATAAAGACTAAAGACACACAGTGCTACGTGAGGAGGCAGGCAGCCAGCAGACAGAGGGAGGCAGCTTTCCCCTCTTTTCAGCACTGGGGAGACTGCACGTGGAATGCTGCATTCCACATTTGCAGCTCCTTGGCTCAAGATGCATATGGAGAAATYGGGGAAGGTAGAGCAGAGAGCTGCCAAGATGGTCAGGGCCTACAAGGAGAGAGGCTGAAGGGGCTGGTGGAAAGGAGGCACAGCGTGACCAGATGCCAGCCCACAGCCCTCTGCGAGCTGCAGAGGTGGTGCAGTTACACTTCTTGTTTGCAGGGCCAGACCACATAAGCAGGGAAAAGGATCAGCAGATCATGGCAGCTTGGGAAATTCAGTTTGTTCAGCAAAAGGGTTGTACAGCAGTGAAGAGACTGCTTAGAAATGCTGTGGAATCTCCATCCTTGGAGATTTTTTGAGATGGTACCAAAACCACAGCTGATCTGATCTTGTGTTGGCAGCAGTCCTGCTGTAAAGTAGGAGGTCAGACTACAAGATCCCCAGTGCAGCCAAAATTGCTACGATTCTATAAAGTTAAATCTTATCCTTCAAAAATATAATGCATGGCTGGACATACTRGACTTCTAATAGTGTGTTTGTGGTACATAGCAGTTAAGGAGCTAGGAAAATGAAAATAAAAATAAAGGAAATGTCAGAAATGAAAATGTACATGTTTGGCTTATTGTATTCAAGTCTTCTCAGAAAATAAGGAATTATGTATCATTAACTTGCATTGAACCAGCAATCACCTATTTTGGGGATCCTCTGAATTTGCAGAGCTACAGTGGCATTCTTCAGTTGCTGACTGCGTGCCTGCAAAGTAGAAACAAAACATGATTATCAAAATAGTAAAATGTAGGTGTAGTTTAAATGGTATATTTTAGCATATGAAGCCGATTTTAATAAAACTGCTGATGAATCTTTTACTAATCTGAATACTCTAATAATCCTCTAATAATCCACTACTTCTGTACAACTTTTTTATCCCATTAAGATATCTAAAGATGTTAATAGATATTATTTTTGTGAATGAAAGAATTAAATCACAAAGAAACAGCAGCTTAGTCTAAGAGGAAATGTCCGAAGTATTTAATTCCCATTTCTGCCATAACATTATTTCTTTATAGGCAATAAAAATACACAAAAATATTTGTCTTTACCTGCTAGTACAACTGATAACAATGTACATCAATGGATACGTGAAAATGTATCATTATATACAGAATTGCAATAGAGTTGCTGCTTAGCTATAGGCCATTATGGTCAAAATTCAAGAAAGTAAAAAGGACATCACATGGGAAGTTTTATATTCTTGTTCTCCCCCTTCTATCTTAAAAATAAACTAAAGACTAAAGGACAAATAGAATCTGTCAAATCATAGAGGAGAAAAAAAAACACAAACAAAAAGAAACCATAGTAACTTTAAATCCACTGAGATTGAAAGGAAAACAGAAATGAGTATAATAGGAAAAACAAAAAAAGGACAAGAGCTTTGCTGTATCTGAAGTCTGATAAAAGTTTCTGAAAAAAGCATTTGGCTTGAGCACTGAATTATTTATCTAGAAATTACTTCATATCATTAAGGGAAGGATACTTAACATGAACCATTCTTAATGACAAAATGAAATAAGAGTTCTGACTCATGTTATCTGTAATAATATGGTGTTGGAAAACCAAAGGTCGTTTAAGTAAAAGGTTGAGAAAGAAATGACTCTGTATATACGCTTCTTTCTTACACATCTTTATTCAGGTATCTCAGTCCTAGTACTGCAAGAGAACAAGTTCCTTCCAAATAAAATAAATTTGGTAGATACAGTACCTTCCTCGTCCACAGAAATGCTGCGTATTATAACAGGACTGGAGTAGGCTGGCAGTATCAGTGGTAAATTGGAGGGTACAGCGTAGCCACAGGGCACCGGAACAGAATATCCACTGCACGAGCTGGGACTCGCCCTTTCCTCTTGAGGGCTCGGTTCTGGTGATGAGGATGGATCATTCTCTTGGACTGGTGAAATATTTATGACTGAGTAGGGATTGACCTTCGTTGGAGTGCCCTGTGCAGCAGACTGCGATGTCTGTATTTCCTCGTTTTTTACTAAATTATCAGTCCCTTTATTTGAAAGATCAAAAATAAACAAAAGAAAATTATGTTTTTCATATTTAAACCTTACTTTAGAAATAACTTAAAGTCTACAGCTGACAAAACTCCTTCAAAATAAAGTAGTGCTATTGTCACCATTTTAAAGATGGATCAAGGAGAAAGTCTGTGGATGAATAAAAACTCAATTCCAGAACTGCTAAGTCCTGTAGAGGAGGAAGACTGACACGCGGTTATGGTCTCAGTGAGCACACAGTTGAAAAGAGTCTTAAAACCTTAAGTTTTAAATTTGGATTTTAGATGAATTTGTGTCTTATGAAACAGGAAATATTTTAGCAATAGCTATGAGGAAAAAAAGTTCACTAAAAGTTCACTCCTTAAAGAACATTCCTGAAAATATTCTGCTGAGAAAATGGTAAAGAAAGTAACTTCCCAAGTTTTCCTCCTTAGAACTAAATTACTCCCTGTTATACAAATTTCCCCAAATCTCCTAGGACGAGCTAAGGTACAGTGAAACCAAAAGCCACTTATAAAACAGCTGCAGAAGTGGAGTCAAGTAATTAAAAGCTTATGAGATTTAACTGCAACCTTATAAAAAGGCGAGTGAGCAACAACAACAATTTTTAGAGTAAGGCAGTGGGTAGGTTCGAGGTTGTCAAACTGAGCAGTCACCTGAATTGTCTGTTTCTAGTTGCCAGGAGCACAAAGACTGTGATTACAAAAGGAAAGTGCATTGAAGTCAGCAAAATCAGCTGCTAAAGGTCTGAACAGAATCCAGATTTCCTGAATATGCCCCAGTGCAGGTATCATCTGTGTGTGTTACAACAAAGTCTAAGGGTTTTAATGCTTAACAAAACATTGGGTTATGAATAAAGTTCCCATATTCYGATTCCACTGATTGCTATGTAAATGGCCTCTTCAGATCAGTAAGCAGCTTGCTGGCTGTCAAGGAGGCTTAGCACAAGTCACCCGTGTACAGTTGTAGCTGCAAGGGCATCAAAGTTTCCCTGCAGCTCAGCACCACGTGTGACCAATCTGCTGGTGGGGATGTCAGAGGCAGGTGGGAAGCCTCACTGGAATGACACAACCTATTCRTTGCAGTGTCAGACCTACCACAAATGCAACTAGTAGGAATGAACAAAACACTTGTAGAGTCTTTCCATGGAAATCTTTGTATATTTTTTCCATGGCACTCTTACAAATWTTTAATTACATCACCAGAGAAAGGCTCCCACACTTCAGCGATCTGAACTTGGCTGAGCCTAGGGCAGGCAGAGCTGCAGGACCTACCTGCAGCGTTGGTCTCCTCATGCTCTGTGTTATTCCCACACTCAGAAGGAGGAGGCATAAGAGCTTGTCTGTCTGCTTCCGGTATCTCATCCCCACTGTCAAAGTCAAACTCTTCTCCTTCATCCTCCTCTTCATCATTTGTACCAGGGACTTTGGGTTGATTCTCTAGAACTGAGCAGAAGGAGCCTTTCTGTTGCTCGTTCTTATCAAYCATTTCACATTATTAATGTTCCAATTATGAATTAATCCTATACAGTTAAGTCTTAGAATTTTAGGTTAATGGAAATAACCCAAACCCCTTTGATATGCTGACACACTCATGTAGTTCTCAATAAGCACTCTAATGCTGACAAGGGAATTACCAGAAAGCAACAAAAAATGACAATACATTATCATTACTTTTGTCACAAGGAGCTAAAACCAGAACATTTTTTATGAACACGTTTAATCAGCTGATTCTTCAAAGAGGAAGACTTCACAGATGATACTGTATTTTGAACCAGAACTTTGGGACTTCATGATTGCAAGTCTTTATTCTTTTTTAATCCTTCCAAGTCTCTTCTTCCACACCAATCCAAAACCAGACGTGTGAATTATGTGCATTAAAAAAATCGAAAAGTTGCGTCGCAGGGAAGTCACTGCTTTGCTGGCATACACCCTGTCAATGAATTTACTCAAGAGGTAAATGCACATTTAGCTTCATCTTCTACAGCGACACCAGCTACTGTTAAAATGCCAGTAACAGCAACTTTTCTCAGACACACCACTAAAGAGCAGCAGTTTTTTTCTCTCTCAGTCCGAGCTGGACTTACAGCAGTGACCTTGTGTGCTGTGTTGTTAAACCACATCACCAAACGCTTCAGCCATCAACGTGTCATCTGATTGCGAGTGAGGGGGCTGATGTTTCAGTTCTTACCTTTGAAAAAGTACTCGCTGGAATAACACAACTACCCTCTGGCGCAGCTAGAAGGTCTCCTCTCTTTCTTTGCCTCTGTTTCCAGGTGCCTCAGCGAGGTGGCAGGGCGGCCCTGCGAGCRCCGGCGCGGGGACGGGCTGTGCAAGGCCCGAGCTGCTCCCCCGACATGTCGCTCGCACCACAGGGGCACCGAGATGCCCCAAGGAGTTGAAACCTCTTGCGGTGGGAGATGCCCTGAGGAGTTAAAGCCTCTCGGGGTGTCCCCACTAGCGCCGCTCATGCTGTGTGTCCGCAGGAAGCCCAGGCAGAGCTTCAGCTGGGCCAGGCACGAGGCCTGGGCCCTGGGTGCCCTCKCCACAAACCTTTCCTGCAGGCCGCCCAGCGGGAGCCCTCCTGCCCCCGCAAACCACCCATCCCGAACTCTGCTCCTGCCTTCGGAAGCTCCTCARCACCAGGAGAGCATCAGCTATCCCAATATCTGGAACACGCTTTGTGTCTCTGCCATAAACCCCACAGGCCATGAGCACTCCCGCCTTTTTTTTTTCTGGAAGGCGGAGGCATTGTATTTTATCGCACCCACAATTGACATGAGTTTTCATATATTCTTTCTGAAGGAGAAAGAAAGTGTGAACTAAATATAAACAAAATTAAGGAATTAAAAAGATTAAGGAATATATAAGAGGTTATGCTGCACATATTGCCATGGTGTAAAGCTGAAGCAGAGGACATTTAATTCAATTTCGATGCCCTTTTTTTTAATCCTTTGGCAAGAAGTCAGCATTTGAATTCAGACTTTTCATATTTGCATTTGTCCATGGCAATGCTTTCTTYTGAAAGATGCTAAAATCCTGCAGAGCTATTCCAGCCCATCGAAGCCACACACTGAAGTCCTACACACATACAAGCTGACATTTTTATGCTCCTCAGAAGTTCTACAAAAGTAGGATGACACAAAACAGAGAAACTCGATGTGAATATGGGCCCCCCATCACATATCTTGTAAAATTTCCTGCTTATGTAAAAAGTTCCAGTTCCTCCAGTTCTTTAAATGTAAGCAAAGATTAACTAATAGAAAAGTGAATTTCCAAGCAGTTATGACTGTAGAGAAAAACCTGAAGGAAAAAAAGCATATTACAAAATGCCCTCAACACATAAGAAAGAACTRCATTGTTACATCATTTTAAAATTCATGATTTTTCCTAGTCATAATGACAGACTTCTCGGGATTAATATTACAGTGACCACTTAAAATTACTTCAAATAATTAAATTAGGTGCCAAAAGTCTAATTTGTTGTCTTACTATTATTCACAGCCCTAACTTTGGCCCTGTCAGCCAGGAATGAGAACACAATAATTGATTTAATTTCTTCATCTTGTGCCAATACTATTCCGTGGCTTGTGYGAAATATTTATTTTTTAAAAATTGAGTTTTAAAAACTTGAAAAATCGGAAACTGCCTTCAAGTTAAATTAAGAGTGAAAATATGAATTCTTTAATTTGAAATTATATTTTATATAATTTATATAACTCCTACTTTTTAGTAAAACATGTGAAATAATAAAACTGATTTTTCTGTATTACTCAATGAAATGGCTTTTCACTTAAATTTACTTAAAAAATAAGCAAACAGACTATGTTTTCAGAGAGCCGCTGAGGCATACCAAATGTAAACAATTTCTGTTTTTTCTGCCAACTAAAAAAAACAATCTTGGTACCACCCGCTTTCCCATTCCTTTTCTGTATGCTATTTGTAGTTAAACACAGTACAGCTAAAATACTATAAATTTAAGAGTGATATTAATTTTAAATCTGAGATTACACTAGTGGTTTTTTGTTAATAGCTTTCATCAAAAGAAGTAGAATCAAAAAAAAAAAAAAAAAAAAGGCACTTACTACCAAAGTCTTTAAATTTTGAATGCAGTGCAAACACAGTGGAGAGGAAGAACCACAACAAATTTGGTGCTAAGGTAATCAACTGAGTTGACAAAAAATTGTTTCACCGATGGGATATAATTTTTTTTTGCATATTCACTAAACGATTTTTTTGTTTTGTTTATCCCTAAATGGCATATATTTTCAACTGATTTTACCCATACTGCTAATTTACATTGACAGATGAAGAAAAGTGTGGTTTTCTACAGATGCAAACCATTATTATTTTGTAAAATAATATTTCAAATACAGAGAAATCTAATACAGAGACTGAAAGAAGTTGCTTGTTCTTATTCCATTGTGCAAGCTGAAAACACCGAGCGTTTTTACTTTTTTACTCAAGTATTCTGGATTACCGCAGGATACTTGGAAAACCGTAGGCCCTCTTCCTTCAAGATGAACTCCTCTAATGTTTCTGACATTGTACAAATTCTTCAATATCTTCAAAGCAAAGCTCTTCAGTGAAAAAAAGTTTACTGTCTCAGAGTGTATTCAGTTATCATAAAACTTGCTATCTTGCAAAGCTTACAAATCACAGCAAACAGGCAGACTCAACAGTCCAAGGACATATTAACCTTGATAAATGCTAGAAATGTTCTCTTTAGCCTTATCCTAAGATGAGATATGCTTTATTTCCCAGACACTTTTTATTAACAGTCAGAATCTGTCTTGGGCTTGCCTGAATGTGCAAGACATCATATGGAAGAAAGAACTGGAATTTCACTAGAAAACAGTAAGGTGCTAAAACCTAACAGGGAAAGTGTTCTTCTCCATAAATGGAAAATAMCTTCTTTGAAGCACCGAGCAGCCTTACAAGGATTAACATTCTGCAGGAAGATGGGAAAAAAAAAAATCTACCTTGAATTCTAGAAGGAAAAAATTACTTTCTTCCACCTGAAAAGTTTTAAAGACTGCATTCCTATATGGAGTAAGTATATATGCAGGACTAACTCAGAGAAGAGACTTTTTCCTCTAGGTCACAGACTCTGCTATGTGCACTTTTCAAAAATCAGCTTCAGTCCAGKTCTACAGTTACAGATGTAGAAAAAGAACGCACACCAACATGTTCTCTGTTCATTTTTAAGCCTTAACAAAAAGAAATACTAGAATCTTTCAAATTATCATTTGCAAAACTAACCGTTAAATGTACCACACTGACTGTGGTTAGAAAGGAATGGCTTCTGGATTCGTTTGATATTAATTTCATGGGAAAGTTTGTAACAGAGACTTGACATTTGTCAGGAAGGTGAATCCTGTGCTTAGCAAGCACTGTCCGAGTTCCTGTAAAAATGTAACTGATTTGTAAACCTTCAAGAAACCAGAGCTGATTCACACTCAGCAGAAACGTGATACATCTCAAACAAAACAACAACAACAACAACAAAGAGGTTTTAATGCTCAGTCTTTACTGGGTAATCTCCAGATTCTCACATCTTAGTGCTGATTAGATGGCTTTTCTACAGCCAGAGAGCAACAAAGTATTTTCTTTCTGCTCAGTTCTCCCACATGTGATTGTGACTTCTTCAATACTCGGAGAGAAAAAAMATGAACTTAAATATTCCTTCACTCTGGTATTCAGTTTAAAGGAATCCTCAAAGAATTTAGCTTACAGGTTCCCCAAACAGCAGCTCTGGCTAGTGCCCATGCAGGAAGAAAGGTAAAGATGAAAGGCAGCTGACTCAAGTGAAAGATGGAACATATCTGGATGAGGAGGGATGGAGATGCAAAAAGTCTGGTCAAACTGGAAATCTGGATGGGAGATATTAACTTACTTCAGTGTGAATGGGTTGGGAGCAGGAGGAGGAGTAACCTGGACAGCAAGAACACAACTAGCATCAGCTGGGTCTGGCAGAGGGAGGCAGGAGGCTGCAAACAGGGAGACGATGTCCAGCCAAGAGGCTGGAATTGAGAACTAGGTGCTTAGGTGCCAAATGGGGAAGGAGACTTTAAAAGCTATTTAAGAAAATATGCAATGAAATAATCACAGACTGCTACCACAATGGGGAAAAAAAAAGATAAAAATAATAATAATGAACACAACCAAAAAAGAAAAAAAAAAACCCACCACACACATTGACACATTGACAAAGTTTTTAAGTTATCCAAGTGACTTTCCATGCTGGGATTTCCAAACATCAGTTCAAGGTCTCTAGGAGTGTGCTGCTGGAGCACAAGTAATAACGAAGACCACCTCTGCTCTGCATGTTTTCATTAGTAAATAAACATTTGGGGACCCTGAAAAGATTGCTGGCTTTTAGGAATGCTGCTGCAAAGCACCCTATTCRTGAGCTGTTCCACAGCACCAAGTGGCATCTCCCTTCA